GCAATCGGAGCGCGAGACAGGGATGATCCCGGAATGCACCTGAACTCGGTGTCTCTGGGTACTCCCCGCTGAGACCCCGACCCGCAAAGCCCTCGGTAGAGGAGTTCGTTGGAAGGACTTCACTGAACAGACAGCACTACTAAAGCAAAACTGCTTCCTGTAGCCCCCCAGGCACTGGAAGGGGCTCTGAGGTCTCCCCGGAGCTTCCCTTCTCCAGGCTGAACCCCCCAACTCCCCCAGCCTGTCCCCATGGCAGAGGGGCTCCAGCCCTCGGAGCATCTCCCGGGCCTCCTCTGGCCTCGCTCCAACAGCTCCGTGTCCTCCTGCTGTTGGGGCCCAGAGCTGGAGCAGAACTGCAGGGGGGTCTCCCCAGAGCGGAGCAGAGGGGGAGCATCCCCTCCCTCGCCCTGCTCGGACACCATACCCTGGTCTGCCTCTGTTCCAGCGCAGCTGTGATTGCTGGGAATCAGGAATACGGCACAGAACAGGCTCATTTTTGCGTTTCTATTGTTCCAGCCTTTCTTCAGGCTCAAGCCTGGCACAGGCGAGCGGGGGCCTTGCTCCGAGCATCCGGCTGCAGACTTCTCGGAGAGCAAAGTCAGCTCGGTCACGCGGCGGCAGCCAGCCCCTGACGGGACAAAGGGATCTCGGTGCTTTCCCCAAGCGCCCAGGCGATCGGGGGCAAGTAATCAGCGATTCCGGAATAGGAAGAAACCCCAAGGCTGTTAGTGGATTAGTGGGGAGCGTACAGCCACGCTCGCTCCAGCTGCTCGGCTCCGCAGACCCAACTGGTGGCCGCGTATCGCCTGGGGTTAACGACCAATTTAACAGCTAAACACTCAAATACTGCAGACGGGAGGAAAAAGCAACTTCCTTGAACAAACAAGGGCACAGGCCGAGTTTTGCCTTTAAAAAGCTGCAGAAAAGGCAAACCATCCTCAGCAGAAGAGATGTGACAGAGGAACAGCGCTGCTTTCCCTCACCTTCAGGGCAGCGCCTGTGTGCGCAGACGAGAAGCACCGGGCCCAGTGGCTCCACATCACATGCTGCAGCCGACGCTTCCAAAAAAGGCCATTTGTTTGCCTGAGGAGACACCTCACCCAGCCCCTTCAGATGGCTACAGGCAGCTCGAAACGGTTCCCAGTTCTCCCTCTCCTCAAGCAAATGGGAACTTTCCCATCAGCGGGAGAAGGACCATGGCCAGTCATAGCATCGTCGAATCTAGACGGTGTCGGGGAGTTCTCACGTTCCACCTTTAGGTCTGAGCTTTGGTGGGCTTTCAGACAAGGCAACATCCAAGATATGTCAATAAATGGGTAACGAATTGTGGGAATTCGGGACATGGAATGAGCCAAGTCCCACCTGGATCCCCAGGGAGCAGCGTAGCCTCTTCCTGCTGCTATTTCAGAGCCTCTTCCCTGCTTGACGCAGAACGCCGAGGAGCCAGGTCTGCACTGCCGAAGCGCAGCGGTGACAGAGCTGTCGCCCCGTCAGACTACAAACTGGATTTTGTAAGAGGTGGATATAGACCACCTGGAGCGAGGCCAGAGGAGGCCCTGGAGATGCTCCGAGGGCTGGAGCCCCTCTGCCCTGGGGACAGGCTGGGGGAGTTGGGGGGTTCAGCCTGGAGAAGGGAAGCTCCGGGGAGACCTCAGAGCCCCTTCCAGTGCCTGGGGGGCTACAAGAGAGCTGGGGGGGCTTTTCCCAAGGGCAGGGAGTGACAGGACAAGGAGCAACGGGTTTGAATGGAAAGAGGGAGATGGAGATGGGCCATCAGGAAGGAATTCTTCCCGCAGAGGGTGGGGAGCACTGGGACAGGTTGCCCAGAGAAGCTGTGGATGCCCCATCCCTGGGAGTGTCCAAGGCCAGGCTGGATGAGGCTTGGAGCAACCTGGGCTATGGAAGGTGTCCCTGCCAAACCCCTGCCAATCACCCATACGCCCTTCCTAACCACGTGCCCTTCAAACAGTTCCATGATTCCATGACTCCAGCCACCTTCGGTGAGCACCGCCGGGCCCCGTTGGTCAGGTGGGGACAACCACCCCTCCTGAGGGCAGACCGGCAGAGCCTGGCGAGCAGAGCCCACTGATGAGATCCCGAACCTCAGGAGGCATTTCGTACGGCATGGAAGGCAGCCGGCGCTCCCGCACACCGCTGTGACGGAGCGGCTGGAGGAGCTTTTCTAGCTGGTACTTTGCAGCAGCAAGGTGGAAGGGACAGCGAGCTGCTGGCATACGAGCAAAGATGGTATTTAACGCGGCGGGAAATAGAGGAGAAGCACAAGAAAGCAGAATTGCTTGTTGCTCACTCCTAGGAACCCTGCTCAGTGCTTTGCAAAGGTTCCCTCTCCTTCGCTGCTGCCAATTTCCACAGCTGAATCTGGAGCAGGCGCTTCTCCTCCCTTGCAATGGCGTCACGTTTAATACAGAAAGAACGAAGTTTAAAAGAATCCTTTCAAATTCTTTGCTGTTCAAGCAACTGCGGTCCCTTTGATGAAAGAACACAAAGCCTTTCGCCCTGACCTTCTGCTAAACCCCTGCCAATCACCCATACGCCATCCTCAGACAGCAAGAAGGCAGCGTAGCCCGGTTTGCCTCCGCCTGGGGCTCGTTACACTGAGGCTTGTCAAATTACTGAATTGAAATTCCTCCCTCGGTTGCTTTCACCACTAAGGCAAAACCATCACACGGCCCTTTTTCTTCCAAACCTGATCCCTAAAAATCTGTTTCCAGGCCAACCCCCATTTTCACGACACCGAATAGCCACACTTCAGAGAGAACGCGGGGCCGTGGCCCCCTTTTCGTGCAGGTAAAGACCAGACACAGAAGTATTCAGGTGCCTGTTTTTTGGCAGTGAGAAACCCTCATTCCTACAGCTCCTGCATCTTAAACTCAACAAGATCTACCATTCCTGTCAGGAAACAGCCTCCTAACCACGTGCCCTTACGTTTTTGATCAGTTTACAGACATCTGACCCAGCAGCAGCACCGCTGGACCCGGCCACTGTCCCTGGGACAATCCCAGACCAAAGGAAGACGGACAGAAATTTGAGGGAAAGAACAGTTTGGAAGCTCTGCCTTTGCATTCTGAGATTTACTTGAACACAACTCACGTCTTTTAGCTCGGAGCCGAGGCCGTAGCCGCTGCGGAGAAGGGAGGGAGCTGCAAACCCCATTTCCCTGCATCCAACTTCTGTCCTCCTTTGGTTCGAGGTGGGAATTAAACCCTCCTCATGCTCCCCCAGACGAATGATCTGCATGTTCTTCGAGGCAGGGTGCTGAGGGGCATGTTCCTGGACCCTTTTCCAGAACCATTTAAAGAGGAATCTCAGAGCAACACAGCTCAGGAAGATCTACGTGGGAACGGCCAGCGGGATGATAAAGGTCAGCAGACCATGTGTTTTGGTGAACTCGGAACAAACCCCGGCCAGGGACGCCGGGATGCAGTACTGCTGCTCTGCAGGTCTCATTTCCACCACCAGCCGCATCCTTCAACCTCCCTTTGTTGGGCCGAAGCCCATCTCAGCCGTGAGCGGGTCTCGAGGGCAGAGAGAACAGCGGTTCCGGTGCTGAGGGCCTGGATACTTCACACCTGCTCAACGCGCCCATCCACCCTACGCAAACCCCACCGCTTCCTGCCATGTGGAAAACCTGGAGCCAGGCAGGTATTGCTGGTTTTCCTCTCCCAGGGAGATACACACACGAATTGTCTCTGGTATGAGCAGAATTCTTTTTCACTCACAATGATTAACGTCCCCTGCTGTCAGCCTGGCATGAGGGATGCCTCCCCGCTCCGAGGGTTGAAATGCCCCATGGCAGGGTGAGGGAGGAAGAGCAGCGTGCCCGTGCATCTCAGAGAGAGCCAGGCATGAACGCTCCTGCCCTCCCACCCGCTTGACACTGCCAAACCTCGGTCCCCGAGCCTCCTGCTCCAACGGAGTCCGTGGTTTCCACTTAACCCTGCCCCAGCCCCCTCGTCTGTGGAGAATTCCCACCCTGGATCTACTTTCTGCTTCGCTAAAACGGTGGCGGGTGCTGATAAAAAGCCAATGTGAAGGGAACGACGAGTGCACAGAACCCCGGGGCACTGGACAGGCACGGGATGGGATTCAGGGAACCGTCGGGATGACCTCATCACGGATCGCCCGAAGGAATCAGAGCAACAGCAGGCCCTTCTCAAAGGAGAACAGGGAATACCTGATCAGCAGGCTGCGGAAGCTTCACCTCATTTAGCGAACGGAGAGCGCAGTACGAACGGAAGGAGCGATTTGTACAGCGTGCTGTTAGAGGACTTGTCGTTTCTAACGGTTCAGCGCCCTCCCCGGGGCCCGGATTTACCTGTAGCGACTGCACTGACAACAGATGAGCTTGGCTCCAGCAGAGTCACCTAGAACCAGGCGGCCTGGGCTCCTTCCAATGGCAGTTATTGGCCATATTCAGCAAGAGCCGGCTCGCAGCAGGAACAGCACCCGGCTCAGAAGGGAGAGCCTGCCGCTGGGCGATTTTTGGTACTCTACAAATCACAGAATCACGGAATGGTTTGGGTTGGAAGGGACCTTAAAGAACATCCAGTTCCAACCCCCCTGCCATG